AGTGAACAAAATGCTGCATGTAATGCTGTACTCTGTCTTACTGTTTCTTGGAAGAGTTACTCTTTGATCTTTAGAAATGATTCCAGACTCTTGAGGAGGGGACTGGGGGGGGGCGGAATACATAAAACCATGGGGAAACATTTTTCAGATGCAAAGCTTCAAACAGCAGGACACCCAACAGAAGTTGATACATTAGGCTTAAAAACAACTTCAACAAAGCAACCTTCTCCTAGTTCAACAAACAGCTTCAAAAGACTCATGCCACATGGTTAGATGGGAAATGAAACAAATCTCCAAAAGAACTGTCCTAAGATTCTCCTAGGTTGCCTTCACAGGATGCATACACTTCTGGTAAAACTATTTAATTGATCTGAAACTCAAAGTAAATGAACAGATATGCAGAAGTGGCTCAGAAGAGAGTGTTTAGATGTCTACGACAACATAAAATCACAGGTATTTAACTGGAATGGAAAAAGAGATCTAGAGCAATGCTTATCCAGAAAAAGGACTAAGTAAAACCTTGTTGAAACTGTGAGGATCATTTGAAAAACTCCTTGGTTTAGCTTTGGTTAAAAGGCATGCAAGAAATAAGTATGCTTTGTCTTCGATGAAATAGGCTTCATGAGTAACAATTACAGTTCATTAGACTGAAGCATTGTGAAACTGAAGGAACCTCTGTGAAATACTATTTCTATTGAGATAGCCACAGGGCATTTATTAATTAAGGATTACTAATCTTCAACCTAGTGGTTGCAACAATCAGGGTAAAATTTTAGTAACGTAACTTCTACAAGATTAGTCACAGAGGGCATTGTCACAGAAGCTACACTCTATCCCAAAGAGCAGAGTATAGGAAATAGCATTGGTTTATCCCTTTGATTGACTAGAAGAAGAAATTCTAGTTTTGATCACGATCACAGGTCAATTAAAAGTTTATAACGTTCATAAAATGTTCAGCTATAGTTTATAAACTCTGTAAAATTAATGTATTAGCTGCAATTTATCCTACCGCATATTCTTTAATAAGTAAAGGTATTGTTTGGAAAAATACTACGTTGTCCTCCAATTAATCTTCTCATCTTTCCTCCCCTGCAACTCTTACACTAAATGTAGTCTCTTGTCTCAGAATGTTTAGAAGACAATCATAAGGCACTTCTAATGATTTTGAATGCTAAGTGATGACTTGCAGCTGGAAGTGTGTGCACACCTCCTCCCCCACACTACTGGATCAGCACTAGAATCAGGAGGTTAATTACATTTCACTAAGATAAAAGTCACAAACTGGAGGAAACTTGCTGCTTTTTTTGGAAAAAAGCAAAATCTGGTAGTTGATAAACTTGCTTTCTGCCTGTACAAGGCACATCCCACTGAAATTACTGTGAAAGGCTCTGGGTGACTGAATGAGGCTTTGGATGCAGTTTCTATTTATTTTTCAGCACCCCTGCATCTTTCAAACCGGTTGACTGCCTTCCTACTCTGAGGAAGAGGTAGCTCTTTTAAGCAGAACACACAGCTTTGTAAATGTCAATACAATCTGAGAAATAAATTGTATTAAAACAATCCCATAAGAATGCACTAATCTGTTACTTTCAAAACAATATCTGGTCATATCTTAAAGCAAAATCAATAGAAACTATAAATTATAGAGCATCTGAAAAGCTAGTATTGCTTATTAAATTTTAAGATATAAATAATGTTAGGTAAAGAACAATTGCACTTTATTAATAGATCTTCCTTTGGAAGATAGAGCAAGTAATATCTTTATAATGAAGGTTTAAAAATAACTTCATTTTCACATGCATGCCCTTCATCTCTAAATTTAAAACTTTTTTCCTGCTCTTACTGCAACAGTCTGGTTTTGATTTTGACTCTCCTAGTAGCAAGATAGTGCTCTTTATTGCTAAAATTTATATTGCACTTCTAGGTTGTACTTTCACTGCACCTAATTTAAGCTCCAATCTATCAAACACATGCTTAAACACATGCTCACAAAGACAACAGGTCTACTATTCAAATACTAACCATGTATTTCACTGCTTTGCTGAGAAAGATCCAAAACAAGCTATGTACAGCTGTGCAAAAAGTTATTGTTTCATCTTATGGAATTTCTGAAAAACAGTATCTATACTTAAATATAGCTTATTTTGATCATAGTCACATTTCATGCAAGTGTAGAGTTGGGTTATAATCTATTAATAACTAGCAGAAGAGTTTAGGATCCAAAGTTTGCTCCTCAAGGCAGAGACTAGAATTGTTTTCCCAAAGGTGGAAATTTTAATTTGAATGGGAAAAAAATAACATTCTGTGTCTGGAGAATTTTAGTCAAATTAATTTCTGCAAAAAGCTTCAGATTAATCATTTTTTTTTCCCAAGAAAATAATTGTTTCAAAAATAATTCCCAAATAATCTAATCATTTGAAGTATCAATGTCCTAGAACCTGATTAAATAACAGAAAGTGTTACTGTTACATTAATTCACTTATTTTTGCAGGTATTTAGTCATGTTCCCTTGTAACATAATTTCTAAGTAGTTGAGATTTATTTGCACAAATGTTTACAAGTATGTGTTTTGTCTCATATTGTAGATCTACCATGTACCATTTATGCCAGAGGCATTTGTTCATCTGTCCAAATCAAAGAACAAAAACATTCTGGTGCTGTATGTTTGTGTACTTCTAGCTGTTGATTTGCCTGTGTGGGAATATCTATCTGCATTGCTATATCAGTGCAACTCCCACATGTATACTTTTACTGCAATAGCATCCTCTCATGGAATAACTACCATGAAAAGGTCACCAGTCTTTCCATTAGGAGTTTTCATACAGAAAGTTACACTGGTATAGCTATTACTGCATAAATAATTGTGGCACATTTTTAGATGCCAATAAACCCTGAAACACTAAGAACTATAACAATAAAAATGATGGGTAAAAATTAGGTGCAGCTCATTCAACCAACCATAAGTAAGTAAATTATTTGAGTTTTAAACATATCTGATCAAGTCTTGGGGCAAAATATTTGAAAATATACTGGTGTAAAAGATGTTATTGATAATGGGTGAATTCAAGGAGATTATGAACATTTAGGAATATTCTGTGATGGAGCAATGCTCAAAAGACATTCACTGTAAATTATTGGCTGAGCTTTGTTGAACACAAAATTATGTGGAGAAATAAACAAAGCAGTGATACTAGGGCAGAGTAAAACAAAGCAATCAGAAGTGATAAAAAAATCCATTTAAACGAATACAAAAGCAAACAAACAGTGTCATCTGGCACTCCAAAAGGCAAGGGCTCCTGAGGAACCTAATATAGAATCTGTAGGCTTTTGTGAGACTACTGAAATTTCAGCTGGTAAGTCTAACAGAGACCTGTAATGGAGCCCATGTGGCTGTCTTATAAATTCCACTTCCATCCTTTTACCGATTTTCAGCTGATGTATCTGGTTAGCTTGGCCAGCTCACAGTTACAGGCTTTCACAAAAATGGCAGTGATGATCAAAATGCAAAGAGGAAGGCCGTATCTTCATAAGACGCTCCACTCATCTCAACAGGAATGATGGTTTTACAATTCACAACCGTAATAAGATTGTCTTGAAGCATATTCATATATGCCTCTAAACTCTATCTCTACAAAATGTGTATACTTATACCAATTCCATAAAGGGAAAAAAGGGTGCTTTTTTTTTTCTTTCCCATGTAAAAAAATCTCCTTTTTAACTGACACGTCTACTGAACACCTGCAATAGGTTTCTATTAAGATTTTTCCATGAAAATTTCAAGACTGACAGATCTCTCAAGCAACAGATAGTTGAAGGCTGATGCTTAATAATAATATATAATCCTCAGGGGTGTATTAATACTCTACAGTTCTTTCCAAAACTCTTCCTTTCTCTGTTTTGCAGTGTTTTTTCCTCATCTCAGTAATGCTTTCTGTCCATTCTACTACTATATTCATGTTAAAATCTCCCTTTTGCTTCTTCCTCTATTCAGTGCTAGTCTTAACTATTCTTCCTCTCTCACATTCTACTCTTGGCTTTCTTCTCTGTCCTTTCATTTATTATTCTCCACTGTAACCTAATTACTTATATTGCTCCCAAGTTGTAGGTTAGTGTTGTAAACAGTGTTCAATCCTTCCTTGCCATCTTCCTTTCTTCATTCACTTTACTTACCTTTTCTCCTTTGGTCCTCTGGAGACCTTTACTTCTTTTAACAACCCACTATAAAGTGACTCCCTATTCATTTGATGGCTTAGCTCACTGAGTTTATACAACTCAATGCCATTTCAAGTATGTTAAGCTGTTTAGTGGCATTGGTATGTTGTCTTCTTTTTCTTTAAATACTCCCAAGCTAATAGATTGCCAATTAATTAGAAATAGTTAATCTTCGCAACAGAATAAACACTACATGCTTGTGTCTCTTGGGGAGTTCCTAAACTAATTTTTACGACTGTGTCGTTAACCATTCTCACTACTTAGCAGCCCGTCAATGTAAATAAAAGTTCGTTGAGCAGATATCCAGGCCATAGTTTGTAGAACGTTTTCTTTGAGCAGGATGCTTCTGCACCTGCTGTCCTTCCTTTTCCTTCATTGCTTGTTCCTGGGCTGCACCGTCTTTAAGGATGCCAGTGTTGGGGGTCATGCTAATGATTGAGCTTCACCAGCATAAACACAGATAAAAAACTTGCACAAACACTGATTTTTTTGACCTGGTTTGTTGTGTGAAGTCTGATGTGCCAGCTTAACCAAGGAAGAAGCAAAAAGGAAGGAACACGTGGCAGAGAAGATTTTGAACTACTACTGGAGGACTATATCTCCTACTGCCTCCAAATTGAGGGAAAAAAAGACAAAAGGAATGGGAGCAGACAGAAAAGAACCCAACACTGATATGGCTATTTAGCATGCGTTATATAGAAAATAAACCTGGTTAAAATGGTTTTTAAAAAAGGTAGCTCTCAATGAATGGTCACCATGATGCAGATGTAATCATAAATTATTCATACCTGCTGAAGTTGGTTCTTCTTCAACTGAGGCTGTGCAAAAAGGCAGCAGGGGCCGGGGGGAGGCAGAGACAGGGAAGAGGAAGGGAAGAGAAGAGAAGGCAGAGAGAGAAAAATACAGATTAAGAAATCCGTATAGTTCTAATTGTTTTATTATTTACATTTCCTTACTATATGAGCAACAAGACATCATGAAGAACTTTATTCTTAATAGTTCGATCAACTTCAGTAATATGTTTCATCTTAGTGGAGAACTAAGCTAATATGAGTTAAGATCTCAGCTTACATTTGTAACATCACACTCTTAACCTTTCCCTCTAATTTATCTGGTAGGGTAGGCCTAATATTGCAACAGCAATGTTCAACAGAAGAGTTGCAGTCAACTTCCCTGCAGTCAAATTCACTGCAGAGCTAGCTGTTGCAGTACTAAAAAGGAGCTGTTCTTAAGGCAAAGCCTTCTAAATAATCAACTGCAGGACCCATTTATTTGGTCAGAACAGTTAATGAAGGCTTTGTCTCATGACACAGCTAAGACAGCTGCTGCTTAGCAAGCAGTTAATGAGAGGCACTGTCCGCACCTTTTTCCCATCTCTCCGTCTTCCACCCCTTCCGTTCCATTCAGTTTCTTCTCAACTTGGTGCTGGCAGTAATGAATTAATGATCCTGAAATTAAGTAGTTAGGGAGCAAAAATAGCAGTTTGGGGTTGGGTTTTTTTTGGGGGGGGAGGGGGGCAGTTGCCTGTTGGACTCTCCATTCCAGATGTTTATTGTCTGAGGTAAGTGATAAAAATCCCTATCTTCATACTAGAACCTTTCCTTTTTGGCAATAGATAACCATTAAATTGCCTTAAGTTACCATCAGAAAGCACCTTTGACTGTAGACTATCTATTACCCTTACATTCAAAAGAAAGAAACAGACATATTCACAGTAAAATTGTATTTTAAAAGTACATCAGTGACCTAGTTCTTTCTTTCCCCGCAGTCAGTATGTTTTATATACACATGCATCATAAAAATGGTCTTCTCACAGTCTTGCAAAGTTTTCAATGACAGAAAAAGCAGCAATCAAGTGTTTCTCACTTGTATACTCTAAAAGCACCTAGAAGTCTGAGAAGACTCTCCATAAATGCAATATAGAGACCCTCTTAAGATACTAAATACAGGTATCCATACTTTTTTTTTTCTCTTTTAAGAAGTCTCTTCTACCAGTTGAAATGGAAGCTACTTCTGTTGGATTTCTTGTGGAATCAGTTCCATACAAACAGTGCTCCTACAGCCATGGCAAACACCGATCCACCGTGACGGCTTCAGAGCTTGCACTTGGCATACATAAAGATTTCAAACATTTTCTCAAAGATCAGTGCCGTGCTTGGTAAATTGACTTATTTGCCTTCAATATCACTCCATGTATTATGCTGGGAGAAATTAGGAAAGGAGCAGGAAGATCTTTCCTCCTTTTAGTGAAACTTCATCAGACACAGCAGAGACCTCATCAACAGCCACCAACTGCATTTAAGACCAACTATAAACTTCGGTTAATACAGTACAATATTGTATATGCAACTGTATGTAACAATTAACGTTGGACACATCAGTTATTTCTCATTGCGGAGTAGCATGGTGTCCTTTTGGGGGCTGTCAAATCCAATCAATAGAAAATAATCAATTACTGTCTGAAGCACCAGCCAACCATCTTGTCTCTAACTAAAGCATCCTGAGGTAAATAGGTGATTTTTATTTATATAGCTTGGTATTCAGATAAACACTGAAGAAGGCTATGTTACAAGAACAGTGCATTATGAAACACATAATCTAAAATGGCTTTAAAAGGGTAATTAACAGGCTAATCTTTTCCTCTTGTAACTCCTCATTTAGTGTCTAGATGTGTATTTTGAAACTAGATTAATCCAATTTGAGGTGTACATATGTCATGATCACATCAAGATTTTAAATCTTACAACAACATGTTCTTCTACTGTATAGTTACTGAATTTAAGTAAAATGTGTTTGTAAGAGTAGAGGATTTCAAGACAGTGAAAGAAAGAAGGGAAAATGCCACCCTATTGTTTTTAAATTGAACTAATCATATACATCATTAGTTCAAGAACAATATGACAGCTGATTCCACAAAAAGGAAACGGAGTATTTAAATCTTAAGAACAACAGAATCAGAAGTAAATAAACAAACTACAAACTAAGTCAATCAAGCATGTTGTAATTTCTCAAGGTAACAGTGGCAGAGGACTACACAAACAGAACAGAACATGGAAGTTAGTTAGAAGTTCTGTTATTAAATTTTACAAATGCCTCAAATCTCTATTAGCTATGAGCTCAACTGCTGCTTGAGCAACAAATAATTAAAAGTACTAGTGACTGTGCATTAAAACTGGTTAAACAAAATAATTCAATTATACAAAGAATATTGCACTAACAATTTTTTTCAGATTGTTATTTGAATAATATTCTTAGACTTACTATTGGGATGAATACCAGCATTAGCAATTCAAACCTGGATTCCTTTATTACTCTGAGGGTTGTTTCAGTGCGACCACCCTGCACTTAGGTACACATCTAAATAAAATATGATAGCTGAATCTCAGCTGAAATACGTCATTCAGATGCCAAGACAGCTATGCCAATAACATACATTTTCTGTTTATTTAATTACATTGACTATTTGATTGCTGGTTTAGGCTCTTTCAGGAATACACTATATTAATTTCTTGTCTGAGTTAGACTAGAGTTAGTAAGAACTGCTTTTGTAAAATGCAAAAGACCTAGTTCTACTTGCCAATACAGTATTTCTTAACCCTAGACAGAAATTAAAGATGTGTATTAAAAACAGATAAGAAAATGCAGTTCAGAAATTGTTTCTACTTCATGCACACTCTTTAAAAATCAAATGAACTTAATCTCTTGCTGTATGTGCCAGGACTTCTTTCACCGTCCATAGCTTGATAAACCATGTTTAAAAAAACAGCCTTCAGTAAGCTATTGAATACTCAAAGAATATACTATTTTTGCTTTATCATACCAGCTCAAATGCAATGTCAGCACTCTGTTTTCCACTCGTTAAGTAAATGCACTAAATTACCACACCAAAAATTTCCTATACAACACCACTTTTTTTTTGCATCTGCAGTGATTTAAAACTTGAAGTTATTTTAAAAAGCTATTTATACAGTGACTCATCTCCATAGTAATTATCTATAATTTACTTTCTTTACTTATTTCAGAGGGGTGGAGAGGGAGTAAGCTGGAATTGCCTTGCTCAACTGAGCTGGCACAAGCTGGTGACTCACCATACTGGGTGGTGGATCACCATCAGCCTGCTTTCTCCTTCTGACTCCAGAGCTCTAAGACTCACACAGAGGAGCCAGGTATTTGACAAAAAAGCCCCCAGAAGAGTCAAGGACATCCCCAAATCATGGTCTTATAGCAGCATTGCCTGACCTTAAATTGTAAACTACCCTGCAGCTTTAAAGAACATTTTTCTTCCCCTTTTAATGCTTCATTGACAGAATATATTAAGACATATGGCAGCACAAACATTAGTTTTTATCTTCTTAGAGAAAATCTGATGTTCACTTGGGAAAACTTAATCATGTTTTCCTTATAGATGAATAATACTGCATGACATTAGTGGGGAAAAAAACACAAGAAGGCATGGGCAGATTTGGAAAGCATATACCGGGATATATATTGTCTAACGTATATTAGCTTAAGAGAGATAATGTAACAAGGCAATGCTTGGCTAATATCTGAATACCTATGCCAGACTTCTGATTATTTCTGTTACAATGGCAGAAGCCTTGAATGTCTGAGAAAAATCTGAACTTTGAAGCATAGGTAACTTGAGGGAGGCAGATTCAGTTAACAGTGTGCTACACCACTTTACATATTATGGCACATTACATTAGTTTACTGTTTATATTAAGGTTTGTGTTAATTTTATATTAACGTGAAATATGTTTGTCTTTAACATTCAAATAAAATGTAAGACTCATATACAAAAGAATAAACTTAGATATATGACATTGTCTATATGAAAAAGTCTATGCAAGAGCTCTACAAAATTATCCAAATGAACCACCTGTGAACAGTAGGATCCAAAAGCAAACCTTTTTCTGAATGCACCATCAAAAAAAAAAGATATTTTGCTCAGCATCAAATCTCACGATCTCAGAGGACTTGCAGACTACGAAGACTTACTGACATCCCAAAAACTCGGCATCAGACATTAAGAGCGTGATTTTGATGCTACAGATGTTTCATTGAAAATACATGCCTAGGAAGTCTGTCTCTTTACCTGGTCACCATTTGACAGATGCCAGTTCATTTTTCCATAGACTGACTCAATCTTCTTTGGTTCTCAACATGGCCCTGTGGGCAGTATTGGCATGACTGATGAGGCAACCCATCGTCATGCAGAGAGCTGAAACAAGCCGTCTTTCCACCAAAGCCCCCATTGCACCAAACCTCGGTCTGCCCCATGCTGTCAGATTAAACGTGCTAAAGACACCTCCAAGCCACAGCTCATATGATTAACGCTATCTCACCAACTTGTAACAACTAATTCAACCAACTCAGCTGGCTGCCACTGCAACAACTGATACAATCATCACCCCTACTTATAAAAAGGAGCAGCAAATCCTAAGAAAAACAGATTGGTTTTAAGATGCATGAATCTGATGAATCTGGAAAATGCACCATTTCTGCCAGTTGGTCAAAGATACATCTGTAGTGTGAGTAAGATGTTTTTATCTTGCAGTTTTACAGTGAGGTTCGGTTTGTCCTGTTACTGTGTGTTAATTGTAATTGTAGAGCTGGGACACCAGCACATCCTTCACTATTCACAGGCCCTTGGGAACAGCAGTGCCTCCTTCTAGCTTCAGCTGGCTAAGTGGTGTCTGCAGCTATTCTTGGAAAAAAACCAAAAGAAAACAAGAAGGAAGACACAAGGCAACTCACTAATGCATGTCAGAGATAACTCACTATGAACTGATAAAAGTCTGCTTGGATGACAGATATT